ACAGAATGTTAATTTTGAAGCTTTGAGATGAGATTTTCCTGCCCTTTGCAAACTTAGGTGCAAAAAAAACAAGGCGTGTCAGCTCCAACCATGATGCCACAGGTCATTGGCTAACAACTTGTGCTGACAAATTGTTGGCCAACGAGTGTTTCATACCACAATCAATCCATCATTTTGAAAAGATTTACAAAACAAACTGAACTATTTATTTAGTATGACCCCAAACAAGAGACTGACCCCATAACATCACCAGCAAAGAGACAAGGTACTTTCGGATTGGCTTCATTTTTCTGACTGAGAAAGTATGTCCATGTTTTATGCTTTATGGCGAAATGCTAGAGTTGGTGCTTAAAAGTGTGAATTGTGTAATTGCAAACGATAGTTTATTTCACGTAACTTAAGCCCATATTTTATAATTAGTATCTATATGGAAAGTACTTGACTGCGAAAACAGTTCTAAGGACATTACAAAATCATCCTTATAATTTCCCAATTGGAAGCAGAACATGTAACTCTGAACTCTTTGAAACAACACAGCCATCTCTGACTCAGCATTGCGAGCATCACATGGAGGATTGATTTGGAACACATGCTCTGCCAGAGGATGACTGAGGATGACACCCTCTTTGACCTTCCAGATGTCAACTGTCTTTGAAACTATCTGTCTCACTATAAGGAAACAGCAATCCAGAAAAACCAGAAGACAACCACTAACCTCAAATCACTGTGTGTTGCTTCATGACATTATAAGACAAACATGGACTATGTAAATCAACAGTACTCATTTCCTAAACGGAAAGAAATTCCAGCATTTTCTAAAGTCCTAGGGTGGGAAAGGCTCCACAGAAAAGACCAACATCAGAAATGATCATTTACATTTTTTTCCAAGTTCTTTCAGATTTATTTTGACAAGACTTTCATCCCACAGCTGCTCAGCCACATGCTTGAGAAGTAGATGCCTATGCTCTATAAGATCTCTCTCTCTCTCTCTCTCTTAATTTACATAGGAAATATCACAGTATTCAGTCCATAACACCACAGACCACTGGTATCCTATACTATTCTTTTCGAAATACACACTGCATAGCAGTAATTTTCTTGTTTTGATTTTAACACAAAATTCCTTAACTTGAAAATAATTGATTGTTATTGGTAGATGTTATCAGATTAAATGAAAATGACGTACATACTTCATAACAGGACTTCAAATTAAATTAGGAACTTGTAATCTCTTACTGTATTAAATTAAGACAAGGCTGAGGAAAGTGCGATTTTCTTGTTTTGAATTTTTTCCCCCTGATAGTACAGTGCTAAAACTTTGTGTGCAAGTGTTTGCTTAGTTGAAATAATTGCTTAAAAATAATTCCTTAAATATAATTATAGATTTCAAAACAGCTTTGACAGAGCAACGCTTTTAAGGTAATGCTAAGGGTTTTTTTTTAATAGCATATCATAAATAATAGTTAGATATTTAACACACAGGCCGGATCTGTTTTATCTATTTAACAGTCATAAAACCAGTGTCCCTCACAGATATGAATCCATTAATCTTCTCTTGCTCTGTTGGATTGATGTATAAACATATAATTATTTTAAAAAATGTAATATTTTAATAATAATAATAATACCAACTTAAAGTAAGTTTACATTTACAATTTAAAAAGTGAACTACAAAACACTCCTTTAGCCTTAATTACCTGAAGTTCTACCATTTAATGAATTTTTGATCCCTCTTATTTTTCTGTTGTTCTTCAGTATTAAATAACATTATTACTTAATTAGTTTCCGTCTGTCTGATGACATCACTACTGATATTTCCACATAAGATTCATTGTGTCAGTTTTTTCGTTCGAGGCTTTGGTTTATTTTGTAAAGTTCCAGCTGTTTTTGAGTAATGTAATGTTCTTGGATTCCTGCTACACAGCCGGCATGACAGAATAACGTGACGACTATGGACCCAGCAGCTCTCAGCCCCTCATGATTTATGACAGGATTTATACAGTGCAGAAGTTGTGCAATGATTGGTTGAAAAGCCCCAGTAAGGAATACCAGGGGGCAGCTAATCACAGTCTACAAAGACTGGTTTCTGGCCTTCCTTGGTTATTGGATTTGCTACATCAGTTGATAAAGATGAAGGATTTTGTCATCAAAACTTTTCACCTTTGTCTACCTGCTACAGCTGCCCACACCGCTGGCCATCTCCTGGAAAGGAGGCTTCAATCTCTGAAGCCTGGACAATCACTTGAAATATGTTATGTTTTAGACTGTTTTGTTGTTGTTGTTGTTGTTTTTGTTTGTGTGTTTGTTTGTTTTTCCTGGACATGCAGTCCTGCACAGTATATACGTTGGCCTAGATATCAAATAAACATTAAAAGGAACCAATGTTTTAAATATTGCTTGATTAAAAAAACAACATCTCTGTCATCTTTGGATTTTTACTGTACGGTAAAATCAGTATGTATGTTTAACAGTGACATCATGGAACATTTCAAATTGTTCCCAGGATGGCTATAATTTTATGTGACATGACTTGAGCCCATTTAGCTTCTGATGGCCCCAAATGTAGGTGCTACCAAGGAAAAGGGACTGTCAAGTGTAATGCTTGTTTTGTGTTTACACTTGTTTTATTTAGGGGGTGGAAACGGCAATGATTTTTTTTTTTAATTTTGTTTTGAGGTGAGACGGTATGTTCTCCCCCCCAAAAGAAAGACTATGTAATCCTTTCAGTTTGTTTGTTTGTCTGGCTGCCTGTTTTTTGGCAGTTTAATGTCCACAGTTTTTAAGATATCATGCTCAGATTTTGTGTAATGGTAGATACCAATAACAGCTCAAGGTCAATCAGGTCAAACCAAAAACCTTAGCTTATCCACAATTTTTTATGGGTCTTCTTTAAACTTTACAACAATATGCTAGGTGTTGGGGGACATGAGTACCTAGGTTGGCTAAGCATTTGACCTTGACCTTCATCGTAGGTTACCAAGATCAAAGCTGACCTTGGAAAAAAATCTCCAAGAACCCATATTTAGTAATGTATCATATGAAAGGGCATGGAGAGAGCTCTACAACACACTTTTTATTTTTTTCAGTACAAAATTCTATGACATTAGAATGATCACAAAAATACACACTGCGTGAATGCTTAAAAGCTCAAAATTCTCATGTAATGATTTTGGCCAATTATTTTAGCCAGTTCTGCTTTAATCATGTGGGTAAAGATAACAAAATACCATTTTAGTATGTAATGCTTCACAGTCATTGGTCAAAAGTCAGACATCAGCATGTTGTTATAAAAGCAGGCTGACGTCAGCAAACGGTAATAAAAACATTGTGGGGGGGCTGTCGAGCGCTCAGAGTGCTGTTGTTGTAAATGGTTTACATACAGTTAGCCACATATATATTTGGTCACTGACACAAGCTTTGTTTTTGTGTTTTTTACCTGTTTACTGAAACATCCAATTATAGTTGTACAGTTATAGTTATATATGGACATAATGTGTCTCAACTTTCATTTGAGGGAAGTTTTGTCATGGTTCTGGGTCATTTTGACCCAGCTTTTTCTGTTTCTTATGTGTTGGTGTTTTTCTGATTATGATTTATGTTCTGATTATTTAGTGATACTGTTTTGATTATGGTTATTATTATTGCAGGTTTAGTTCCGTGTCAAGTCTGTCTCACTCTGTCTAGTCCGTGTCTTAGTCGTTTTTCTTGTTTTACTTTGAAGGTTCATGTTCATGCCTGATGTCAATGTGTTCAGTTTTACTTTTCCCCTCGTTAGCCTAGTTTCTCCCAGCTGTGGCTCCCTCCTGTTTCCCATTCCCTGATTACCGCCCTGTGTATAGAAGCCCTGTGTTTTCCTGTGCTCTCTGTCGCGTCGTCTGTGTTACTCCGTGTCAATCTGCATTACTCTGTGTAACCCGGTGGTCATTCTGCGGCTCTCTGCCATCTTTCTCTGTGCATTTTGCTCCTCCTCCCGTGAGTGTTTGGTTTCAGGTTAGTTCTTTAGTTTTCCCCAGTTTAGGTTTGTTAGCTCCCCGCTCTGCTCTTCCTGTTTTTGCCACTTTGTCACTTCTGTAAATAAACACTCACTCGCACCCCAGCCAGTACCTGCATTTTGGATCCTTTTCTCAATACACTACACGACTGCTGCCCCAGCCGTGACAAGTTTAGGAGTTTCAGCTCCTTAACCTGTGCATGTTACACCCTCTTTAAAAACCAAAAGTCAACCAAAAGTGATTGAACGATTGACTCAAAGGCAATTTTATGCGTGGATGTGGGCAGTTCTTTTGTTATATCTTAATCAACTAAGCAGATAAAAGGCATTGGTTTTGGAGAGGAGTTGATTTGGTCAATTGTGAGAATGAAAGAAAGCAACTCAGCAATGAAGAAAGACCTGGAAGTCCACAGAAGACAACAGTATTTGCATGGTGAAGAGAAACCCCTTAACAACAGCCAACCAAGTGACCACTCTGAAGGAAGTCGGCATCCATATCCAAGTCTACCATAGAGAGAAGACAGCATGAAAGTAAATGCAGAGGGTTCACTGCAAGATGCAAGTGACAAGCCTCATGAATAGAAATTATGGATGCTAACAACAACAAAAAAAATCCACCAAAATTCAGAAAAAACATTCTTTGGACAGATGAAATCAAGCGCAACCTATACCAGAATAATGGCTAGAAAAAAATGTGAAGGTGTGGAACAGCTCATGGTTTAGGTGTAACTCTATAAAACATTAGAGCATACTGTGTCGTGTGAAATTTTGAAAATGTAGCAGTATTATAAAATATAACTAAAAAGGTGTTTTGGTTATTCTTCTGAAAAGTTTGGAAGCATCACAACATATGGCTTATCTGCCTTATATGAAATCTAAAGAATACCATTCTAATGTAACACTATAGTAAGTGTTAGACCTCGTTGAGACTGTATATTTGTCCCCAGTGTGAAATGCTTTCTACCATGAAAATATCTGTTCCCATTGTGAGATTAAAACACGGGCTGACCTGTCTTAGCAGAGTGGTTGTTCTCCTCCTGCTTGAGGATCTGATAACATTCTTCCTCAGCCTTCATGTGCTGAACAACCAGAGCGCAATCTGGGTGGATGGCCTCTGTCTGAAGGCGAGAAAAAAAGCTTTCATCACAGTCCAGTAACACAGAAAGACACACAGAAGTGCAGAAATACCATAATTTTCTTTTACATGACATGATAATGGCAAAGATAATGTTATTAATCAGTAGTTCAGTAGTGGTTGTGTTTTGGACTTTGTTATACTATTGACCATATATTAAAGAAATATCATATGGAACCTGTTGTTGGCCTCTCCCAAAAGTATTACTTATTTTTATTAAAGGCTTTAATAAGACACATTGTAATGTAATATTCACCACATAGAACAATTCTTTGAGATATATATATATATATATATATATATATATATATATATATATATATATATATATATATATATATATATATATATATGTATTTTGCCAGAAACGCTAGAATCTCAGCTTAAACCTCACAAATTATTTCAACAACCACCAAACAAAAAAATCGCACTTCCTGCACAGCTCTCTTCCCCTCTCAATGTACTTCAAGAACAGTTTCCCATTTAAAAATCTCTGTTTTCTACATTATTCACTTGCTTTTTACACACCAGTCTACCATTGCGTACAGACAAGAAAGCCTCAGTACCGAAGAAATGTAAACTTTTTAAAATTATGACAAATTGCAAAACTCTTAGCTGTGACTCAAATAAAACCTCTGTAACTTTGCACTGCTTCAATCAGGTAATGTTCATATGATGATTCATGGTTTTCTTCAGTTTTCTTCAGGGTCTTCGGAGGAGGGGGACAACCTGTCTATCTCTGGGGGTGAGGTCACTGAGGCAGTTAAACAACTCCTTGGTGGCAGGGCCCCTGGGGTGGATGAGGTTCACCCTGAGTTCCTGAAGGCTCTGTATGTTGCAGGGCTGTCTTGGTTGACACCAATGTTCCCTAACCCTGCTGGCACGGTCTCTGCGCACAGAAAATCTGTGTTGCGCGCAAAAAAGAAATCTAACCTGAATTGAAATTAAAACTAATACTTTAACAATTCTGTTTTGCACTGTTAGTCAGTAAGTGACTGGCTGCTCCCATATGGGATTAGAACAATGCCACCTTATCCCATAGTCCAGCCAATAATAATGTTTTTATTAGTTTTTATTGTGTTGATAAGCCACGTAAACCCAGACTTATGATAAAATTATCTGAAATGTTTGGTTTTCTTTCTGAATACTATCGTTGTTTATATTTACTGCGGGAAGAAACAGTAAATACATTTTATAAGGAAAACGCTCGAAAACGCCTGTGGTCAAAAACAAAAACAAAAAAACCCCCACCCTTTCCTATTGGTGGAACAATGCACCATGTCGACCAGTCAAAAAATGATATGGCAACATGGCATTTAGTTGTTTAGAAAGGGGGACGTTTTAGGAGTGACGGCGGTGTTTTGAGATGTGAGAGATTTGCGCAAATCTTGTGTAGTTAGTGTGTAGTGTAGTCAATAGTTTTGTTGTGTGTGTCAGAACAATGAGGCAACTTCTGAATGTTACAGGTGTTACAGGAGTGATACATCTCCTGTTGTCAGGCCTGCAGGTATCAGGCTGTTGTTCTCCTTTATCTCATAGTGGACAGAAATTATTTTTTGGAGTGGCACAAATAATTTGTGTGGCATCAAATTTGATGCAGAACAGCTGATTGTTGAAATGTTTATTTAAAAAACTGCATTGGCTGCATTTTTAGGTAAACAGCTGCAAAAAACTTCATTGTTTGCATAACTCAGTTACTTTTTTGAAGAAGTAACTATATAATTAATTGCCCAACATTGGTCATTATATACTGTATTTTGCAGACAAAGAGTTACAGACTCTCTCCCAGACCACAGACTCATAATACAAGTCAGAGCTTTATATAAAAAAAGAAAAAAAAGAAAGTTGTGTTTTCAAAATTGGAGTTCAAGTTATTTTTTACTTCCAATAGTGTTAACATACTACACAGATCATGAACAAGATTTTTTTTTAATTTTCATTGTAAGTGTGCCAAAGCAGTTAATTAAAAGTAGTCTAACATAAATGTAAATGCTGTAATTTGCTTATTTTAATAAACCATGTAACTTGGATGGATTCAATGCTGGCATGACCACAGTGCACACGTCTGATGTCGCTCACAGTGGTCCAAGGGACCGCTCAGGGAGTTTGTGTGTTCACTCAGACACATGAAAAATTAGAGGGAACATTGGTTGACACTGCTCTACAAGTTGCGTGTATATCAGGGGCGGTACCTGTGGATTGGCATACCGGGGTGGTGGTTCCCATCTTTAAGAAGGGGCATCATACTTCTCAGCCTTCCCAGGAAAGTCTATGACAGGCTGCTGCAAAGGAGAGTTGGTCCGGTAGTCAAACCTCTGATACAGGAGGAACAACGCGGTTTTCATTGTGTCATGGAACACTGGACCAGCTCTTTACTCGCTCGAGGATACTTAAGGGTGCATGGGAGTTTGCCCAACCAGTCTACATGTGTTTTGTGGACTTGGAGAAGGCATTTGACCATGTCCCTCTGAATGTCCTGTGGGAGGTCCTTGGGGATTATGGGGTGTCTGGCCTATTGCTACAGGCCATTTGATCCTTATACAACCATTGAAAGAACTTGGTCCGCATAGTCAACAATAAGTCAGACTCGTTTCAAGTGGGTGATGAACTTCGCCAGGGTTGTTGTTTGTCACCAATTCTGTTTGTAAAAAGACAAAATTTCTAGGCATAGCTAAGTGGTGGAAAGCTTTCACTTGGTTGGTCTCAGAATCTCAGCTCTGCCTTTCGCAGATGATGTGGTTCTGTTGGCTTCATTGTGTGATGGCTTCCAGCTCGCACTGAAATGGTTTGCAGCCGAGGATGAAGTGGTGGGAATGAGAATCATCACCTCCAAATTTGAGGCCATGGTCCTCAGCAGGAGGAGTGTTCATACCAGGTCAGGGATGAGTTCCTGTCCCCAGTAGAAGAGTTGTCTTGTTCGCAAGTGACAGCAGAAGGGAGCGGGAGATCGACAGATGGATTGGTGCCACAGCAGCAGTCAAGCGGACGCTGTTCCAGTCCATTGTGGTCAAGAGAGAGCTGAGTGTAAAAGTGACATTCTCAATTTACCGGTCGATCTATGTCGCTATCCTCAGCTATGGTCACGAACTGTGGATCAAAAAAACATGATCACGATACAAGCGGCAGAAATGACCTTCCTCCGAAGGGTGGCTGACATCTCCCTCAGAGATAGGGTGAGAAGTTCAGCCATCTGAGAGTGGCTCAGAGTAGAGCCTCTGCTTCTCAACATTAAAAGGAGCCAAGTATACCATGCCCAGTCTCTTTGGTACACCATTTGACCTTAGAACTGAAGAAGCTTCTCGGATGAGAGGTGAAACGTCTTCAAGCAACTTAAAGAACTCCAGACGCTTTTCTTTGCAAGCTCCTTTGACTCTTTGGTACATAGTTGGCCTTTGGTCCAGATGGAATCTGGAAGAAGACAAGGTCTCTCCTCACTGTAACAGCACCATGTGATGGATCACTGCCACACCTGCTCTCAAGAAACCACTTGAATAGGACCTGCCGGACAAAGTGGAGTAAGATTCACAAAAGCCAGATATCATGCAGCAATCCAAGGAAATTTAGGAACAAATGAGGAACAAAGTAACTGAGATTTCTCAGGTTATAAAGCTGTTTCTAAAGCTGTGGGACTCCAGGAAACAACAGTGAGAGCCATTATCCACAGATGGCAAAAACGTGGAACAATTGCGAACTTTCCCAGCCAACCAAAATTAGCCCATGAGCGCAGCAACGACTCATCCAAGAGGTCACAAAAGACCCCAGAACAACACATCCTCACATGCCTCAATTAAGGTCAATGTTTAGAAGGGCCTGCATCGCACAGTTACAAGACAAAAACCACTGCCAAGCAAAATGAACACAAAGGCTCGTCTCTGTTTTGCCAGAAAACATCTTGATGATACAATATAAAAACAACATTGTTAAATAAACATAGCACAGTAATAAAATAGCAAAAGTAGTTGATCAAAAATAGCGCATTATAATGCAAAGGATTCAGTTTGATGCGGAAATGTTTATGACATCTTATATAGTGATTATTGTATGTATTTGTCACAAAAAGAACTGTTGTACAGTTTTATGGCAAACCATAGTTTTTTGAGGAATCCTTTATAGCAGCTTTATACCTTAAATAGGTCTGAGAGAGAATGGTAACAGATTATTTGTCAAGACGGAGAAATGTGAATTGCATGTGACAACAGTGTCTATTCTGGGCTGTATCATTAAGCAGGGCAACCTCAAACCTGGCCCAGACATGGTCCAAGCGGTGGTGGACTGGCCAGAACCCTCTGACTGGAAACAGCTCCAGTGTTTTCTGGGCTTCATTAGTTTCTACTGTTGTTTCATCCGAAACTTTAGCCAGATCGCTTCACCTCTCACACACCTAAATTCTTCTAAGGTGCTTTTCAGTGGGACTAGGCTGCTCAAACCATTTTCAGTAACGTTGAGCAATGCTTTGCCTCACCTCCTATCCTGTCTTCACCTGTCTCTAACCAGTTTATTGTAAAAGTGGAGGCTTTGGACTCGGGAGTGGCAGCTGTCCAACAGTATGAAGGTAAGCTTCATCTTTGTGCCTACTTCTCTCATCATCTCTTCCCCAAAGAATGGAACTATGATGTAGGGGACAGATTGCTCCTGGCAGTCAAACTCGCCTTGGAGGAGTACCAGCACTGGCTTTATCGTCTGGACGGATTACAAGAATTTTGCCTACCTTCAAACTCCTAAATGGTTAAACGCCTGGCAAGCCAGGTGGACTCGGAAAAATGGAAATGAGTAAAAAACAATCACCTATAGCACCAGGTCACACAACATCTAGCCCGAAGCTCTGTCCTGGCAATTCTCCTCCTTAGAAGGAGCTCCAGAGGATTCTCTGATCCTTCCAGCCTCCTGCACCATCAGGGCGATCTCTTGGGAGGTCAAGTAGGTTTTTGTTCAGAACCAGACCCCAGGACTGTGCTGCTCCACTCCAACCACAATGAGCGCCCA